CAATCAAATGTAGAGGTCAAATTAAGATTTAATTAAGACGTCCAAAGGTTAAATTGATGAGAACGAGTCAAATTCAAATTAAATATCTATATTTACAAAACGGAGCCAAGTGCATTCAAATGTATCGTAGTTAGCATAAGGAAACAAACACATACAATTATGCTAAGCAATCCATCGATGCTTAGCTTGATTGGTGAGCGAGTACAACTGAGAATCCCCCAACCTATGTTCGATTCCCCTCGGGTCGCAGTGCCACTTAAGTGGGGTCCAAATAAGTGCGGGCCATGAGGTTATGTAGGAGTGGGTGCCTCTTCCAGGTCAGCCGAGGGATTAGTTACGTCGTCAAACGCCTCACAAACTAAAGTGGCAGCGAGTAGATACCCCATACAAAAAATACACAAAAACAATCTAAATAGTCGACTTCGTTTGAAGTTGGTGTGAAAGCTTAAATTCCATGTGATGATTCTCAAAGCTAAAACTTTTTAATGAAAGAGAAGTTGTCCAGCCAATAGCTAAGAAACAGGATAAGGGGGAATTAAGTAAAAGAAATTTGGCCAAGTCGCTCTCTTTCTCTCTCTTTTGTGACTCTTTTGGCTTTGGTGGGCTAAGAATATATGTGGGATCGTTTCCTAAAGGGTTGCGTGGCGTGTGCATTTATGGCAGTCACAAAAGTAAGGGACAGATGGAGGCCTAAGCATGCCGAGTTAGGGACATTTTAGCTATAGCATTTGTTGGGCTCCTGTTATTCTCTAAGAGTTGTCTTTTAGCTAGGTTTTTTTTTTTTCATTAAAAAAAATTTTCTGTTAAGAAAAAAATTATATACAATACAGGAAATATAAATATTTGATTTAATATATCCATAAAAAAATTTCTTAAGTAAAGAAAAATGCTAATCTAATTATTTTCTATTTATAAACATGAGACTTATATAAATTTTATTTAAGATTTTGAGAGTATAATATTACTCAAAATAGTTTGAGGTTTAAATAATGGTATAATAATGTTTCATATATGATAAATGGAATTTGACTTTATATAGCTCATAATAGCAAAAATCAAAGAAAAATATTTGAATTTGTTTTCTTGGAAAATTATATTTGAATGTTTATTTCAGATTAAAGCTCCCCAATTTTTTACAAAGAGTTAAAATCTTTGCTGGAAGAATGTGGCTATTCGATTGTATGAGCTCGTCAAACATTCTTCTTCCTAGCACGTCTATTTTTAATGATTGCATGTTTGAGCTATGGCTAGCTTTTATACCAACGATCTCTTCATTTATCATTTATGAATATTAGTGAGGCTAGCTATAAATTTTGGTTGTTTAGGATTGATTATGGTGTTTACACTCTAAACCATAAACCCAAAAAACCCTTAAATGATTAAATCTCATATTACATAATACAAACTTATTCAAAATTTTTTCAAGCCACCGTTCATATTTGAGCTATGATTAAACTACGATCAAACAATCTCCAAATCATGATTGAACACTCTTCTAATCATAGTCACATAATCTTCAAACAATAATGAAACAAAACATAAATGAAAATTTTACCATGGTCAAACTTTATTCGATATATATTTTGTAATGCTTTGAACAAACTTTAAATCACTATTAACTATGATCATATCATCTTCAAACCATCATATAAGATACTCAAAGATTTTTTGATCATGATCAAAGATATTTGAAGATTGTTTGATCATGGTTTGTAGATGGTTCAAAAATATATTTCAAGGAATGTTAGAACATGATTTGATTGTGGATCAAAGATTGATTGAAGATGGTTCGATCATGATTTGAAGATTATTCAAAGATGATTGGATCATGGTTCAAGTATGATTTGATTATGGTTTGATTATGGATTTATTCATATGAGATGATTTTGCTTTATATAGAGATGTTTGCTTTGATCGTATCAGAAGAGAGGTAGAGATTGGAGTGTGATAAAGAAACTAGTTAATTAGTATGACAAGGCTAAGAGATTCCCTTTTGATAGATTCTTCAAAACTATTGAAATGCCACCTTCTTGGATGACAATTCATCAATTGTTATTGAAGATGGTTAATGATGATGAGAAAAGAAATCTTCATTATGCACATGCTTCCCTAACTTACTTGAGCAATTAGGGTTATTTGATAACAAATAAGAATGTTTCCTCTCCAAATCTCCTTCAAACTGAAGGAATGCCACTATATATTATTAACAGATAAATCTCAGATTATTAAATGAATAAATTCTGTGGCAAATAAGTAATTAGCTTGTCCTTTGTACTTCTCTGTAAAGTCTATTTATAGGTTGTCTTGTAACCCGGTTAGGCATATATGAAAGTATTTTCTCTGATTTGTTTTCTGCACTTGCTTCGTTTCTCTTCTTTGTCCGAAGGAGCTTTCTCAAGAAACCAATTGGTTTTTACATGGTATCAGAGTATCGTGCCTTAGCAGCTCTTACAGCTGATGTTATTTTGATTCGAAAATTACTTACCGAATTTGGTGTTACCCAATCTCAACCAACGGACATCTACTGTGACAACATGTCGGCCATTGCCTTAGCAAATAATCCAGTCTTCCACGCTCGTACGAAGCACATTGAAATAGATCAAAGATTCGTGCGAGATCACATACAGAACAAAAACATTCGTATATTTCCTATCAGCACTACTGATCAGATAGCTGATATATTTACCAACTCTAAGATTTAAAACTCTACGACTCAAACTAACGGTTACCGAAAACCCGTCAGTTTGTGGGGGGCTATTAACAGATAAATCTCAGATTATTAAAAAAATAAATCCTATGGTAAATATGTAATTAGCTTGTCCTTTGTACTTCTCTGTAAAGTCTATTTATAGGTTGTCTTGTAACCTAGTTAGGCATATATGAAAGTATTTTCTCTGATTTGTTTTCTGCACTTGCTTCGTTTCTCTTCTTTGTCCGAAGGAGTTTTCTCAAGAAACCAATTGGTTTCTACATATATAAGATCTCTATGTTTATAGTAAGGTAAAGTATTTAAAAATTTAAAATAATTTAAATATTTTAAGTAGGTCTTACAAACATGATTTGAAGATCATTTTACATCTTATTTACAAAGGTGAATATAAAGTGTACGTATGTAATTTAGCATATCATATACCTAGTTTGAAAGAAAAATATTTGATAAGTTAGACTTAATTATATATAATTTTACAATGATGTAAATTTATATTCATAATAATGTATACTGAGAAATCACCAATAAGCTTGAGGTTAAAGAAAAATATTCTGATTGCATCAAGAGAGGGTCTACGACCAGGGAATGTCCCAACCAAAGTGAACCTAAAGGGGAAGCAAACGCAAGAATTTCATCTTCCGAAATCCACAGTAACGATAACCCACAGTGAGAGGTGATTTTGAGGTCAGGGAAGCTCGAAGATAGAGAAACACTCGATAAAGTATGTCTAAAAGAACGAGTAGAGGGCTTCCCATTCAAAAAATCGGGATAATTCAAATGGTTAATCGTCATCAACTGAAAAAGCCAGGCGAATGAGGAAAAATCGTGTGAGAATAAAACAAAAATACCCCACAAAAACACTTAGGGAAAGAAAAGGGGACTTCCCTGAAGTCTATTCAAGAGTCAAGGCGACGAGGAGGCCTTGGAAGAGGAGAGCGGCTAGGGCAGGAAAAACCCTAGCATAGCAAAACATCGAAGCCAATAATATCTTTTTTTTCGAAGCCAGTAATCTCATATCTTATATCCTTCTATGTTTAGGATTCATGTTGTAAATGTATGACATTAATTAATAACTTTCAATAACAATCACCGACTAGTTAGAGATAGAAACGAAATTATTGTATTAAAACTTTACCGAAGAATCATCACTCTCGAACAAGAATCATAAGAGAAGAAGAAGACGTCAGATATATGAGCAATTAATCAACATTTTGCATGATAGATTGCTTATATATACATAAGACATTTCAAATCAAAATGAATTAACTTCAAATTTAAATATATTAAATTCAAATGATTGTGAAATATTTTAACTTTCAATTTTTGAATATTATTATCAACCATAAAGGCAATATTGAAAACATGATAAAATAAGATCAATTCATGTGCCAAATTTCATGTTGACGTGGCATCCTGAGAGTAGCCAATTTCATGTTGATTTCCTGAAGAGAAGAGACAGAATTCTAACTTTTCCGGTGCTGGCTTACGTGTCTCACGCCGAACAAACTTTACCAGCGTGTTCATTGCCACATCATGCTAGACACACTTATTGTTACCATAAAGAAAAACTCTTAATTGGGACCATGAGCTACATAGCAAATATTCTTTTACGATGAATACAACACACCGGTCCATTTTCTTGGTCAAATTATAATGTTGCGCTAATTTTATTGCCGCTTTTGTGTAACTTTGCTTTTGTACCTTTACGGGACCACGTTGTGACGTGTCCAACTTCGGCCTTGAAATTTGCGTACTGAACCCGCTTTGCGGCGTTGGCAGGATTATTAGGCGTGACTTTGACTTAAAATAGTCTGATCAACATGGTCTGTAATATAAATTTAAACTACTTTGTTGAAAAGGGTTATTTTAAAATTTTTTATTAAATTTCCTATAGTCTCTTTTCTGAAAAAAAATAAATTATTTTTATGAATAAAAATAAAAGTTTACTATATTTTCCCAAACAAAAGCTTAATTTCAACATTAGTTGTTCATGAAATATGATAAATAATTATAACTTTATTATAATAATTTGTAAATTAAAATAACAAATAGGTAGAGTATATATATATATATATTATAATAGCCTTAATTTTTAGGGGGACAAACTTATAGGTGTAGATACTATAGAATTTAGCTTAACCCCTATTTGTTCATATCCTTGAATGTTGTGTTTCTAAGATGTGTTGGGAATTCAAGGGGGCAGTATATATATATATATAGTACTATTTAACACGGTTAAGACAAAAATACACTCACCGACGGTGTTCTTACTACACAATTGACAAATAAAGCAGAGGAAAAGTAACGAAAACGCAGAGAGAGAGAGAGAGGCAGATCATGGGCAGTCAAGCTAGTTCTTCAGCTGCTAGTGGCGGGGGCATCTCCTCCATCCTGTCCTTAGGGAATCGAGACTTCCTCATCTCTCCATCTGGAAGCAAGGTTTTAGTTCATTCCGAATCCCCTCGCCCTTCTTCTCCTACAGTACTCTTACTTGGATCTCGGCTTTATCTTCTTCTTCTTATCTCGAAGTTCTGATGCGCATTTTTTTCACTCGTTTGTGCATTTGATCTCAATTTTGGGTCATTTTCTTGGCTTTTATATGCTTCCAGTTGAGTCCCGTTGCTGTTTTCAATTGGGTGTTCTTTTCCAATAGGACTCTCGCCATCTCGCTATACATTCGAGTTTCGAAGTTATTTGAATTCTTTTTATTTTTTATTTTTTTAATGATCTATCTGATTTCTGACTTTTATCATTTAGGGTGGTTTTTTTTTTAACTTAAAACCTTGATTTTTCTTTCTTGCAGTGGGATTCTGTTTCTTCTATTTCAATCAAGAATGGTTTTGATTTCTCTGTTGGTGTATTTTTGGGGCAATTACATACCTAACAAATCTTAACTATGTATAAAACTAACAGCACCCTAGATCTATTTTTTTCAAATTAACAGTCAAATATCAAAATTTTCAATTAATCAACTTGCATTTTTTTTTTATTAAATTCCAAATTATGCAATTGTGGCAGGAACAAATACATGATTTTTTTTAATTTTAAAAAATGGATATTAGTTCTATAAATAGATAAGTTATACATGTTATATATATGGATGGATGGATGGATTTGGACACCAAAATTGATTTTAATCTTCACGATCTTTCCTAAAACTCCCTAAAATTTTGATTTTATTTTCATACTCAAAATGAGTGAAAACAAAATGACTTTTTTTTTTAAAATAAATATTCTATTTACAAGCATCCAATTTTTCTTTTTCAAAGTATCATAAGAGAACTTTTTGTAATTTTTTTGTTTTGTTGTGTGTGTTGATGGAGAAATTATTCTGTGTGGGTACCAGACGGTCCAGAGATCAACCAAAACGTGCCACATCACTTGGTACACAGCGATACCAAGCATCGGTACTGAGCAAAAAAGTGATGTGGCGCATTCTTATTGGTCTCCGGGCGCCGTCCGCTCTCCGCACATTAACCTTTCATGTTGAGGAGGGAGGGAGAGAGAGAGAGCAGAAAATTTATTATCCAATCAAAACCACCTATGACTAAAATCCTTGATTTTCACAATGCATAGTCAAATAATTTGGTATGCTCCCCTTTTTTAAGTTTTTAAAATGTCTTTCTCCTGCCTTCAAGTTGCCTTCATGATCTTGCGATTGATGAACATAAACTAGAAGTTTTAGTTGGAGCTTAATTAGCTTGAGCGTCAAAATATAACTGGCATAGTGCTTCCCCTTTCAAATGAAAATAGAAATGCTATTATAAACTTTAATCTTTAAGAAGAAGGATGGATAAGCAAGAAGCAGTTCACATATTGTAAACCTACTATTGTATTGTTAAGCAAAAAATGAAATAAAATCACAAGAAGATAACGTTTGACAATGATTTCTAATTGGTTTTGAAGTTGATCATCTTATATCAATGATCCCATTACATCTCTACAGTTGAAAGAATATGAGATGATGCTTCTTAGGTAAGAGAAAGTTAGGTTTACATAGAATATTCCAGTGAATCACAATATTCATAGTATTTTGTGTTAGGAACCTAAGCAGAGAGAATTTTTAGTAGGGAATGACTCATCACTGAGGAGTAGGCTCCTTAAACTTTCTACATGTATCACTCTTATTTTTAGAGGCATGATTGCATCTCATTTTAATTTATTCCTTCAGTTTTTTTTTTTTTTTTTTTATCATTCAAATCTCTAGCAAACTATCATGATTTATAGGTCTCCGTTGAAGAATTAGAAGGAAAAACCATCGGTTTGTACTTTGGTGCAAATTGGTATGCTAAATGTGAAAAGTTCACTCCATTGTTAACTGAAGTTTACCAGAAGTTGAAGGAACAGGGAACTGAATTTGAAGTTGTATTTGTATCATGTGATGAGGATCAGAGCTCCTTTGAGCAATTCCATGGTACAATGCCATGGGTTGCAATACCCTTTGGTGATCTGCAATCCAGGAAAATTTTGAACCAAAGATATGACATTGAGGGTATACCTTCCTTGGTTATTCTCAGTCCCAATGGGCAAGTTTTGCAAACAAATGGTGTTGAGCTTATCCGGCGGTACGGCTCACAAGCTTTCCCTTTTACTCCGTTAAGTATCAGGGAGTTGATAGCTGAAGAGAAAGCCAATCAGGATTCTCAGACCTTGGAAAAACTCCTAGCAACTAATGGTAGAGACTATGTGATTGATCATGGTAAACAGGTAAGTATGAAGCTCTGGAAGTTGTGCTTTATTTTGATACGATTTAGAAACTCACCATAGTGAAAGAAAGTTGCAGGTACCAATCTCGAATTTGGTAGGGAAAACCATTGGGTTGTTCTTTTCAGCTCTGTCTTACCCCCCGTGTGCAAAGTTTACTTCTCGATTGGCATCTATTTATAGGAACCTTAGAGAAAAACATGATCAGTTTGAGATCGTGTTTGTGTCAGTTGATAAAGATGAATCAAGCTATTCTCAAAGCTTTAGTGAGATGCCATGGATTGCATTGCCATACAACGTGGAATCGACAAAGCTGCTATCTCGATATTTCGACGTCCAGGGAATCCCAACTCTCATAATTATCGGTCCTGATGGGAAAACGATAACGAAAGAAGGAAGGAATCTGATAAACTTGCATATGGAGATGGCATATCCCTTCACTGAAGAACGTTTGAAATTGCTTCGAGAAAAGATGGATGAAGAGGCAAAGAACTACCCTAGCTCTTTAAACCATGCGGGCCATCGGCACGCACTCAACTTAGTTTCCGAGAACTCGGGAGGTGGCCCGTTCATTTGCTGCGAGTGCGACGAGCAGGGCTTAGGCTGGGCTTACCAATGCCTTGGATGTGGTTATGAGATTCATGGAAAATGTGTAAGGGAGGTTGAAGGAAAGGGCACATCAGAGAACTCTCCTTTGCCAAAAAGTAGCAGCGGGCTGTAAAATATGAAGACTTTAGTTTACGCATAACTGAAGAATCCATAAATACTGTTAAGTTTCTTCCTCTCTAAACAAACTGATATAATGGATCATAGTTGAATCAGATAAGGTACCTCTAAGCCATGATTGCAACACTAATGGCTCAGGACATTACATAGAAGTAAATGTATGGGATGTGAAGATTGTTTGTTAGTATCTGATTTATGATGGCAATGTGATTTGTCTTTTGATACTGAGAAGATAATGTTATCGTCTTTCTGTGACAATTAACATTCTTCTTCAGAAAAAGGTGAAGGGAATATGAAACTGGGATGGTTCTTAACGAGTGATGTGCAAGTAGGATGTCTGTAAATCTAGCTTTGTTCAGCTGATCAAAATGTTGTACTTTGCAACTTACCATTCTAATAATGTTTCATGAAAGTTTTTGTCCATAATACTTTGCAACTTACCATTCTAATAATGTTGCTACTTTTCTTATCATGTATGACTGTTAAAAAAGAAAAAGAAAAATTATGGGCGCCTTGTTTCTTTCTATGTATTATTGTGTCTATCACTGATGATGCTACTGAAATATACTATGATTGTATCAAATTCAACTGTGATTTGGATTCAACTGTGATATTCGTAAGAGATGCATCTTTTACTTGTCAAAATCGACTGCTCTTCATCATTGTTGGATATCTGGCAATCTTCTTTTGCTTTGTCACAAAATTTGGGCAAGGAAAATGTGAAGGTATTCATATTATCTAATGTCAAGATAGACTATGCAACACAAATATGATCAATCTAATCACATGAGGTATTCATATTATCTAATGCTTAAATTTATTATAAAATATTGTGTAACTTGGAAGCTAACTCTCCATTGTATCCCTAACATATACTGCCCTAATGTAGATGAAGAAATATATGTTATAGTATGTAAAGTTGCGCTTTACAAAAATGCAATTCTCTCATCTCCTATCTTGATGACAAAAATAGAAACCATATTGCGGATCTCATTTCATGGGAAACATATATCTTACATCATTTATGAAACCTAAAGATACGTGATTCACTCTCAGATATGATATACATCTCACCCTAACCAAAATCGTAGATACATTATCACATATCCTAATACAAATAATGTTTAAGTTTATAGTCTTACGCACGCTATTATGTCCCGCATTCATATGGCCATTATATAGCCTAAAGATAAAATCAATAACTTTTCATTACCTATGTGATAAAACATGTTAAATAGATGCCCATTAACCGCTACTATAAAAATTGTAGTCTTAAAAAGAAAATCAACATAATTTATATTCGTTGCGTTTGCATTTTCTATTTTATTTCTCTAATGGTTTTCACTTGTTCATTGCTTTATTTTATTCATAATTATATGATCTCCCTTGATATGCCCTTAGCTATTGCAGTAGAAATAAGTCATATTCTTGCCAATAAACTTGCTTCAAATGTAGATCTTTTCTCCATATGTCTACCCTCAAATAATCCTTTGCACTTCTTTTCTTCATCAATACCATGAGCTTAGAAATCAAATTTTTGAAAAAAAAAATTAAAATTTACATCCTCTAAACTTAAAATATCTCTTTCATAAAATATAATGACATGATAATACTTATAAAAGGGTGATAAAGAGTACAATAATAAAAAACTCCAATCATCATCCTTTAGTCACATCTGTTTTTCTCAAATCACAAATAATTGAATCAAAATGATTCATATGTGACTTGCTTAGCATATCTTCTTACAAGCACAATAAATATAATATTTTTTTAGATGAAATTTTATGGAGAGGCTTTTTGGTCATGAACAATTACTCTAACTTAATTCATAAACTTTTTGTAATTTTCTCGTCCAAGATTTTTATTAAGATCTCATCTACAAAATCAACTGGACTGTCATTAAAGCTTTTTCATCTATCTGTGTTTTCTTCTTTAGTTAACATTGTTCGCATTTTATAACACATTTTGAATGCTTTTACAAGTCCTTGAACAATAACACTATGCCTATTAGTTTTTCGAAGTCAAAATTCTTTGACCCATCAAATTTTTTAATCTCAAATTTTCTGATCATCGATTAAAAAATATACTTCAATACCAATCTGTTGTAACAAGTGTCTTGAATAGATGATTATTGCAAAATAAATGCACCAAAGGGTTGTAACACACGAATTTTTATTAGGTTTGGACACCTGACGTAGCTCTACATTCGGACGTCAATAAAATATCGCCACGTGATCTTACTCTTTACCGCGCGGCCCGACGACTTGACCCGGACCGGAACCCAATATTGCAATGTATTAGCTGATTTATACAGACCAGGGTATTGTTATGTTTTGCTCGGTAACGAGATATTGTTATGTTTTGCTCGGTAACGAGAAATATCATTCTGTCAAGAAAATACCTAGCAATACCGAGCAATACCCAGATTTTGCTAGGTATTGCTCGGTATTGGTCTTGACAGAGCGGTATTTCTCATTATTGTCAAGCAATACCTAGCAATACCGAGCAATATCTAGCAATACACGAACATAGCAATACCGGGTTTTCGTTCCGGGTCGGATCGTCGGGCCGCGCGGTAAAGAGTAAGAGCACGTGTTGATATTTTATTGACGTCCAGATGTAGAGCTATGTCAGGTGTCCGGACCTAATAAAAATTCATAACACACAGAAGTGAAAGAGACGACACGATAACAGAGAAGTTAAGATTTATGTAATTTCATTTTACCAAATTTATTTTTACGGGAAATGAGAGAAGATTTTCCACTAAACAAATAATGCAACAAAAACTACAATCATAGATTTAGAAATAAAAAAGCACCCATTAAGTATTTTCTCAATTCTCAAGTACACCACAAACAATACAATCAAGATATCGATTTGTCCACAAAAATAAAAGATAAAAAAACTAGTCAAATGCACCAACAAATTCTTCATAATCTCTAGGCACGTATCCATCTGTGTGGAACTAAAAAAATACTAGAAAAATCTGAGTCAGTTATATTACTTCGAAGAAGCCAAATATAAATTTTGCCTACTATGGTGATTCATCCATTGAACTAAAGACTAATTAGATAGAGGCACGACTCTTATGCTACATCATCTGCTGATTAATGTGGATGGTCAATGGTTTATTTTCTTTGACAGTACTTTTTATGACATAATCTATTGGAAAATGTAAAACGTGTCGCAGCTACTACAATAATGAATTGTAGACTACATATTCAATTCGGCTGAAGTCCTACTATAAAATGTGAAAAAAGAACTGCAAATAAGATTGGAAATCCAAGATGAATGATTGGAGAATTCACATTATTTACTAAGGTTGAGGAAGGATGACCTAAATTTAACAGTCTGAGTGAAATAAATTAACAATTTATAGTCAACATAGACCATCCTTTTCAGGTTGATTTCTCACTTGAATTCAATGAACTATCTCTGCTTGTTTCACTATAAAATTTTAGCTATTCTACCTCAGAAATGAATCCTGTTCATATTTCTTTTCTTTTACTGTCCTTAAGTGTAGGTTAATGGCCTGCTGCAACTCAAAGTAAGTATCTTATCTGTGTAACTGACTTTGATGTTGGAGCAATACTGGATATGAGTACATGTGTTGGGAAGATCAGCTGGAGCTGCATCTTAATGGCGACTGATGACTTCAATGAGATTTATAGCAATGAGAGCACCAAATTGGTCAGGATTCACAAGGAGATGCTGTTTCTGCTGCGTTATTAGTTACTCTGCTCATTTTCCTTCCCCTTTAAATCTAATCTTATTCTTCCAAACTTAATTCAATGATCTGTTGGTGATTAAGCTTTCGAGTAGAGAAGTTGAGTTAGGAAAAAAAAAAAGAATAGAAAAAGAGAACATGCAACTGTTCCTTCTAAACTTATGCCGCCAAGTTTATGTTTTCACTAACTGTACAAGCATCCTATTTTTGCAAATTTGCTTTGTTAAAATTTTTTGGACTTGAATAGGTCACCCCTGTATGAGATGCAAGTTTGGCGCATATTGATGGAACCTAATAGCTTAGATGTGCAGTGATTGGAAGTACATGAAAAAGCCCTAATAAGATTCAATTAAAGTTGAAATTTGAGCTTGATTGGCCCATCATCCATTCCCCCACCATCCGCTTTAAGAGCAACATGGTGAAATTTCTAATTATAAATGTTAAATATTCAACTACCAAACCTATGCGGCTACTATACCTCAAATAACACATCTCTACGAATCTGATCAACGACTAGCCTTAATAGAAAGTTCTCTCGCTACCGGAAGGGGTAATTGACTATAGGGATTTGGGCCTATAGGAAACCAGAACTATGATCATAAAGTCCTCAAAAAATGAGGGTGAAAACTCTATGAGGGTCTAGTTTACAAACCCAATCTGACTTTGGAACTTAATCCGTTAAAACTCTCCTGATAGAGGGCAGGCCGGGACGCGAATTTTTGGAGCCCGCATCTGTTAAAGAATAAATCCTCTTAATAGCATAATTAACAAACAACAATTTCCGTGGAGGATCAAGAATAATTGCAACTGCATTTAACAAACTACATTCAGACCAATACTAGTCAAGCTTCTATTTCATGACCAAAACATTTGTCTAACAAATTCTTTCCATCCCATGATCCTTTATCTGTAGCTTCCTTGATAGCTACAATTATTATGCTATTAAAAGCCTATAAATGCTCTTTATTTTAGAAAACGCCTCGCAATCAAAATCATCAAGACTCCAAACCAATCCTTAGTCCTTTCTGAAAAAACTTATGCAAAACATACCTGTATTGGAAAGTACAATCTAGCATCTGATATGTGGACTTCCACGTTCTGACATCAGAAGAAAGCCATTTAGACATAAATACACCTAATAGCTTCGCATGATTACCAAATGCTTTTAGTTAATTTGGAGACTTATTGGTGTAAAGTTTCCCTAACAGCTATTACACTCCAGTCAATGTGCTCAAGTCCTTGTATTACAAGTTTCAACACATGAGAGAGATTATTTTATCCGGACACCAGATGGGAGAACCGTCCGGTTCACGTTCAAGTACCGAGAGCTACCGAGTACCATTCAGTATAAGCTCGGTACCGAACGTGGAGGCGGAAATCCGGACAGAATAATTTTTTCAACACGAGCACAATTGGCTTCTCTATTTGTTACAGCCTACTCTACTTGAATTGTAAGTGCGACAACTGTATTAGCAGGTATATCTAGGCCAACTTCAATTTCATTACCTAATTCACTAGATTGACCTAAGGCATTTACATCATCATAAGGGAGATCTGAAAGCTGGCAAAAGGTACACATTACTATTCGTAGCTTTTGATTCTCCTAAGAAAAACTACTTAAATCGTTTAATTCTTCCTTGATCACATCCATATTGCTTTTTTTCACATAGAGGTTAAAACACCAATCGCTCTGATTTTCTAACTAAATGAAGAGTCCTTTTCATATTTTCCTTTTTTTAATAAATTCTCTTTGCACACTGATTGGGAATTTAGGGAGAAAAATCAATTTTTTAAGAGGA